TTTAGGTTTTCTCATTTATTTTAGTGTTGTTTTCACTAGATCAATTTTTTGCAAACCCAGGGTCTCATGCATAATATTTTTGCAAGTTTATCATTTTAGCAGAAAAATGCATTTAATTGAATATGCAAGTAGAAAGTGTGCTCTCTGTTTCTGTGATTAATTGAGATATAGATGGTTATGGGTGTGGGGTAAAAATAGAAAGATAATTAGTGCAAGTAGCCATAAAATGCATTCACATATAAGCAGAACTTCTCCCCATCTAGTGATTTCTTTCTGGGCTCTGAGGATTAGCATCCCATTAGTAAGTTTCTAGCATAGAAGTCTTCAGCCTCTGGGGAGAGCAGAGCATTAAAAATGGAACTAACTCTAACTGCAAACTGAGTCAGCACACTGGGTCATTAATTCTAGGGCTTAGGTACATATCATGCTGAGCTTTGGTGTATGGGCTTCTGAAACTGTTAGTAGTAAGTTTATAGAGCATTGCAAGGACTATATGATGGCTAGCTATCATTCCCATTCTTCATTTTCTCCCCTGAGATAGGTCTGGTGACTCAAAACCAGTATTGAAATCTAGGCAGAATCTTTTCCTTAAACCATTGGATAAGGGCCCCTTCTTTACAGAAATTATGTATTATATATTTTGCAAAAACAGGTTAATGTTGCACTTACATATAAGTAGTTCCTAGTTTTTAGAAAGTTATGACTTCAATTTATGAAGATGAAAAAAATCACAGTGTCTCAAATATTATCCTCTCTACAATTGAAAATTATGCCTTTCTCGTGTTTCCACCTACCAATAGAGATGGTGACTAGATTGGCTTTCTTTAGAAATGTTAATGGTATTCACATGATTGCACTTACATGTGGAGTCTGAAATATCTGAACCCATAGAAGTAAACAGCAGCATAGTGGTTATCAGAGAATGAGGGTTACACAAAGTCTCAGCCAGGTAGGAGGAATATGTGCTGGTGTTCTATTACACAGAGGGTAATTGTAGTTAACAATATCATATTATAATCCACAAGAGTTAGCAGAAAGGATTTTGAATGTTCTGCTCAAAAAGAAATTATGACTTTTTTAGATGAGGGATTATTTAAGTATCACGAGTTGCTCAATTCACAGTGTACAAAGGTAGCAAAACATCACACTATGCGCCATAAGGATGCACACTTATTATCTGTTAATAATAGTTTTAAAATAGAAATAATAGAAAAATTAAAAACATGTTCATATTCCTTTCTGAGAGTAAAATTTATGGAAATATTTAATATTTTCAAGGTATATATAGCATTCTCCAATTTCTAATCGTCTTCGCTTACCCTTTTGGGGGATACTTTTTGAGGATCTCTGACAGTTGTTATTATCTCCTTTAATCATCCCAGAGTAACAGACTTATTAATAACTGCCATTCACTGATTGCTCACCCCAGGGTTTCTTAGACTTGGCACTACTGACATTTGGATCCAGATAATTCTTTAAGCTATTTGGCAGTTCCCCAATACTCATGACCAAAAACATCTCCAGACATTGCCAGGTATCCCTTGGGGGCAAGCTCTTCCCTAGTTGAGACCCAGTGACTTCCCCTTTCAGGACATTTTGATTCTACCATGACTGCTACCTCCAATGTACTGTATTAATCAGGGCCCTGGCAGAAACAGGCCTCTGTGGCGTGGGTCATAGACTTTTATGAAGGACTGCTTACAATGAAGTGAGCAGAGTTAAAGGCACTGTGGAAGGATGTGGAAGAACTAGAAAATAGCTGCAGAAGGAAGCCACTTCTATTCCCAGGACTAGAGAAATAAGAGGAGTAAATTGTTCTTGAGTGTCAGAGAATTGAAGCCATGAATCAGGTGCCTCCAGAGGGAGGTGCAGTTGGAAGGGTGCAAAGCTATGGCCAATGGTGAGCACCATACCTGAGAGAGTACAGGATACACTCTTCCCTCCCTGATCTTTGATCATTTTGCAACCAGTGTATCCTGTCAGTAGATTGAGTCCAGAAGAAATCTAACAACTCCAGCAAAGGCGTAGAATGGTGTACTTCTGGGAACCAGTTGCCACGGGTGCTGAGAAGGAAGAAAAATGGAATCTGTTGGGCAGATGAAGAAAATCCAGATACAGCAATCCCCATTATAACATGAGAAATGGGGATTTAAAGATGTCGAGTAATCCATTCAAAGCTAGATAGCTAATGTGTGGAGTCAGTGTTTACTTGCACACCTCTTTAACTCCAGGACTGCATTATGTGGGTGTCATCTTAGCTGATTTGGATAAATGAGCAGATGTTCAATGAGTCTATGAATTTTTCAAGGTCAGTGTTTTTTGTTTTTTTTTTAAATTAGATGGTAGATGCAAGACTAGAATGCAGTCCTTATTCCTATTCTGGAGTTTGCTTCCTGAAGAGCTAATATGTTCAGCTCTTCCTCAAATAGATATGAGAGTAAAAGCTATCTACCAAAACTTGAAAATCATTTCTTTATGAAGGGTCTGTGAAATTCTAGGCTTCTCGTTGAATGTTTAAATGATATTTGCTGTTTTTTCAAGCTGTCATCAGTTTTGTGTCTTGACTGTGGACACCGAGTCCCAGCTGGTGCAGTGTGTTAGGAAAAGGAAGACAAGACTGAGAATCAGGAGATTTGGCATTCAGTCCTGGCTCAGCCATTCCTAGCTGGGTAACCATCACCAGTACTGCTAATAAAATAGATTCCATACGCTTTTTCTTTCCTTTTGCATTCAGCTAGATCTTAGTTCTTCTCAGGTTCTGCGTGGGTGACCATATCTTGGGGAAAGTGGGAAGAGTATTAGTTTTTGTTTCACAAATGAATGATCAGGCTCAGGAAGTACTAGAGTCTCATTGAGAATCCCCTAGCTGGGAAGGGATGAGGTGCAGACTCAACCCCACATCTGCTCCCTGAAGATGCACTGTCTTTGCTATTCCACCCACTGCAACTGACTTTCTATGGACAGCGAGTTTGTAGCATTTAATCTATTAGGTTCCATCATAAATTTCTGTCTATATCTGAGAGTCTGTGATTTGGGTCCCAAGGTTACGGACAAAGCTGCAGAGAGGATGTCAATGTAGTTAGCACCGAGAGACTCCTAGTACCTCATTTTTCTTCTAAGAAAAAACTTTGCAGATTTTTTAGAGTTAAGATTGATATTTTAAATGAATTTTAAAATAAATGTGTACATGGCAACAAAACTAAGTAAATTAATACAGTCCTATTTTCTTACTTTATGCCTGGGTAAGTGAGGTGTTAGCAGTTGAGATTCAGTCTTATGCACTTTGGTAAAATGGGCTTTTAGCCCCAGAAGTTATGAAAGGAACGGTAACACATTTCAGTTCTCTGTCACACTGATCATCTTGTTGTCAGCCCCTGGTCTCTTCCCCACCTCTTTATTTTCTACTTTTACAATATTTTTCAGGCCTTCACTTTTTTACCTTTTCAATATTTTCAGGCATAAAATCAGGTACCCAACATACACATACTAAAAACAAACAAACAAAAAACAAAACAAAACAGAAACTTTCTGTCCTTTATGTATTTGATCCAGTCTTCATTTCACCTAGCCAGTTCCAAGAAAGCAAATAGAAGAATTTTCAGTACTAGTATAAAACTACAGATAATGGAAAAAAGAAAAACAGAGAAAAATAATTATAAATGTTTGAAGCCTGAAAGTGAAAGAAGGGGAAAGAGTGTAAGGTCCCCTTTTGATCTCATTTGTCTGGCAAAAATATAAATTCCTTAAAAAACAAAAGTTCTTTCACTAATTAAGAAGTCCAGCTGTATTATTACATTGTATCTGCTTCAGATAGTGGTGCTTTGGAAAGTTATCTTACAATTTTTATACTGTTTATTCTTAAGGAAAGGTAGAGGAGCATTATCTTCAATATTTAGAAAAGACCAGATTACTTGGGTACAGATCACTTTTACCCCTGTTACCTTGGGCAAGTTACTTATCCTCTGTAGTTTGGTTGGGTTTTTTTGTTTATTTTACCAGTATTATCATATTATAAACAATATCTATGCCATATGGATGTTCTTTGGGTCAAACAAGTTAATATTGATAAGAACAGTACTGGAACATAGAAAGCATGATATTAATATTAGTTGTCATGAGAAATACCCTTTCTGTCACCACCATCATCATTAAAAATACCCTTTCTATCATCATCATCGACTTCTATCACAGAGACCCAATCCAATGTTTCCATTCTTCTAAAATTTGATTTTAAAATCCTAATAAATGAAAACTGTAGCTTCACTATTTAGAATAATGTAACCAAAGAAATAATAGCATAATATTTAATATAATAAATAATATTTGTATGTATTTTGGGTAACCTAATTTCAGACTTTCACTTCTAAGACTTGGTCAGTCTCCCTTTCTAGATGATGGTATAATGAGTACATAGAAAGTTTTATTCACAGTGACTCTGGCTGGTGTGGTGTTATTTCACTGAGTATGTTTTCCCAGGGTTTTAGGTTAGAAACTACTGACAAAGAAATATTCCAGGAGTCAGAATTAGACATAAATTATATGCTACAGAGGTGTCTTCTTATTACCAGAAGTCAGGTCAAAGTCTCAAAAATCACATTAAGTTACTGCTTTTGTGGTTATTGAGTTTCACCCTTGAGAGAATTAAGAGGCCTGACAATGAAGTATAATAAATCTTACTCTGAACCAAACATGATTAGTGATTAAACTTCCCATGAACGATCCCAATCCTACTAGATGAACTAAGTAGAAAACTGATTTTTTCCTCCCTTTGCACATTAATGTTTAGATAAGTAGAAAAACATTTCACGTGTTTTATAAAAAATGATCACTATATGTGTCTGTTTAATTATTTTAGAGTCAATGCCTTATGTACATGTTTGGGTTTTTAAATTTGAGAATGAGAAGGGAGCAAGGAAAGGTTTAGACTTTTTCTTTAAACACAGGAGCAAATGGCTCTTTATTTTTTAATTTTTATCTATTTTCTTTGTCTCAATCCCCAGCCTCTGAGCCCAACTTGAAGGTGCGGTCCAGGTTAAAACAGAAAGTGGCAGAGAGGAGAAGCAGCCCCTTACTCAGGCGGAAGGATGGAAATGTTGTCACTTCATTCAAGAAGCGAATGTTTGAGGTGACAGGTAATTGAGGATTGATCAGTCATACACTAACAAATGCTGGTAGCAGGAATTTTTAAAAACTAGTTTAGAATAAATATGCATGGTGCATATTAAAAGTTAATGTGAGGAGAAATATTTCTTGAAAGTAAATTTTATTGAAAACTCACAAATAGTTCAGTAAACCTTGCTATGCATTCACCAACTGTGTTAAACAGGAAATGAATGAAAAAACAGAACTATGTGTCAATCAAGGCATGCCCAGGGAATACCAAAGCCACCTTATTCTTCTCAGAAACAGGCAGTCCATTTTGGGAATGCCAACCAGGAGACTATAACTTTTAATGAAATCTGATCAGAAATAAGCAGAGGGAGGTCCAAGAAGAACACTTCCCCCATGCTCAGACACGAATGTACAAAATGCATCTGGGAAAATTAAACTATGTGGAACAGCAAGACCTTGACTTTTCAACAAATTTACAGAACTCATAAATGACTTTATGTGTTTACTAGTGAATTGGGACTTATGGCAGGAGGGGGATATATTGCTTTTTATGAAGGGGAAGAAACTGTCATTTTCACTAGTCTCAAATGGAAGAGTTCATATTTTTTTAGCTGCCTGGTTAGTAGTGGGGTGAACAGGTTAGGAAATTCAACCTGATGTCTTACAAACCCCCTTAGTCCCAGTTGGACCTGGTATGAAATGAGAGAAGACCTAAGGATTCGAGAACCAAAAAGGCTAGTCAAAGTATTACTGACTACTGTTTATCAATTACTTTCTTAGAGCCATGCATTATACCTGGTCTTTTCCTCTGGTTGCCTCAAGAAAGAAGTGGTGATCTGCAACCATTTTTCTCCATTCTCAAAAAAAATTGTGCTTTTGCCAGTGTAGTCAGTCAGTTGTAGTTCTCCAAGACCAGTTTTTTTTGTTTGTTTTGTTTTTCGATACTGAGAATTAAACCCAGGGCCTCATGCACGCTAGCCAAGTGCTCTACCACTGAGCTACATCCCCAGTCCCTTTCATTTTATTTTGAGACATGGTCTCCCTATGTTGCCAGATGGGCCTGGAATTTGTGATCCTCTTGCCTCAGCCTGTTGAGTAGCAAGGATTACAGGTATGTGTCACTATAACTACCTGGAATATTATCCTTAGTTTGTTTTGAAAACATGACTTATTTTCTTTCTCTCTTTTGGCCATGTCAGTGTCTAGTATAGGGAGGTAACGGAAAGAATGTGGAAGTGGAGATGGAAAAGTATATTTGGTTACAAAATACAAATGCAACTTAACAGTATGATAGGCTGTTTGAGAAAAAAATAATTATCTCCTATTAATTCTGATAGATTGGCATTCTTATGGGCAGAAGAGTATTGGTGATCGCAGTGGGAAAATTTTTCCTTGAGGGATTAAGAATATTAAAGAAATGAACAATATATAAAACTTTTATGAAAGTTTATGTTTGTTTATCATTATCAGTATAATCACTAATTAGTACTAATTTAATTCTAAGTTTGAAATCATAGGCTTTTTTCAAGAAATATTATCATATGTTAAGTAAAAAAGAATCTGAAGACATTTTTCATAATAGAGGTCCTTTGTGGGATTGGGTGGTTGGGGAGTGAATCTGTTTTAATGAATGTAAAAGAACAATAAACATCTCAATTGCCCGATGTAAATGAAGATAGGTGTTTTTTCTAATTGGAGAGTGTAGATTCCCACTAACAGAAAAACTTGAAAAGAGAAAAGTGTGCATGTTTCTATCTTTTTCTACATTATAATCTTAATATCTATCCTCATATTTACACCCATATTCTTTTCTATTTTCCTATTAGTCTCTTCTTGGTTACAACTTTTGTCCACATTTTTCCCTCCTTAAAAATTACTATGGAATTTATCTTTAAGCCTGTCTGAATCATGGCTAGTTCTCATTTATAAGGGCTCTGACATGGTAATTTTCTCATTTGAGTTTCATTATATTTAAAATATGATGGGTTTTCTTAATTTTGTGAGGCAGTAACTCCATTTTTCATACATTATTTCAGGAAATCATGTGTATTTGAAGAGGAATTAGTGCATTTGCAAGCACACATCTCTGGCCTGTGAGCCAGCACTTGTGATGCTTTGCTAGATATTTTTAAGTGGTATGCTGCACTTACTCTAAATGCCTTTGGCAGCTCTGAACTATCAAGACACAGCTGTCTTCACCTGTCCTATTTCCCATTTCTCTGCCAGTTTTCATCACATTTGGATGAGCTGTATTTGGATCTTAATAGTAAATACTTTCAGTCATCTATCAGAAGCCACCATGGTGCAATGGCAGTTAAATTGCCATTGCTGTCATTCTGTTTCCTCTGTGTCTTCACTCTCTTCTGCATTTCATGGGTTTAAGTGTATACTCTTCTTAAACCCATGCCGCCTTTCAAATCACTACAGTTGATGTGTGGAAACCACTTGCTATTTTCCTTTTTCAGATTCAAGTGCCTTCTGTTCCTCTGATTCCCCAAAGCTGTGTTTTTAAAAAAGTTTTCAGCATGGACACCTGTGCCTGCAGGGCCCTTTCTACCCCTCTTCTCTTCTCTGTTGCCCCATTTCATGAACTACACTTTTTCAATATCATACCTTCTCTAATATTTTTCTCAGTGTTACTGGGAAAGTAATTGCTGTCTCTTCCCAGTTCCTATCCTGTGTGATGATGTAGACTCCTGTTACAGCAGTTGCTGCCTTAACTTTTAATGCTTAGTACAGTGATTTCTACATAAAGAAAGAAATACTTTTGTTTGAATATCAAATAAAATAATATAATAATAGAATTTCAAATTTCACAATAGAATTTCAAATCAGTAAGTCAAGAAGTTTTAAGGAAATAGTTTTTTTTAAAAAAAATGGGAAAAAATTGAAAATATGGAAATATAAATGAAATGGTAATCAGACTTTCATGGGAAACCATACTTATAACTGGAAAGATAAGGGAAGTTAAGAATTTTTGTTTTAATTTTCACTTGCTTGATTAAAAGAAGAGCCATCAAGATAAAAGACAATGATGAAAAAGACCAAATTAATCAAAATGTAAGCAAAAAATATGAACAGAAAGACAGTGAGCACGATGTGTTCAAGCATTTTATAATACTAATAACTTGTTCAAATGCTACAATAAGTAACAGGCAGGATCAGAATTCTGTCACCAATGGCAATGCATATCTGAGTAGAGAAATATTTATAATAGAAGATTGAAAGTAATTGGTTGATTTGAGGGAAGGCAAGAAAATACTGTGTGGACCTTGGGAGCGCCTGTTGTCTGGGCCACAGATGGTACATGACAAACTTTTTAGTTTACAAGTGGGATTGGCCTGCAATGAAGTGAGTGGGAGAAAGGAGGATAAAAAGACCTGGAATGGGAGAAGGTTAGTTATGGAGAGTATGTGATTGCATGTGACTGTGCAGAAAGGGCAATGGTAGGAAATAATAGTGGGCTCCCTTTTGGAGCAGATGGACATGGTGAAAGTTGTCTTAGTAAGATCCTTCTGGCAAGAGTTTGAAAGAATGTTTTGGGAGACTTCTGTAGTGACTCAGGAATAATTTTGCCACAATTCAAGAGAGAATAATGAATACGTATTGTAAAATCATTACAGTGAGACATAGAGGAGAGATAATATAAAGGACAAACCCTACTAACTCTTTAGGGTGAAGAAGAGAGTGAGGATGACGTCAGGGGGTGGGTAATAAAATACAAAGACAAGCAGGAAACATTGAATATAAGAAAGCATTGTCATGGGAGATTGAAAGTATCCAGCATTCCATAGGAATTCAGGCTGAAATTTATGAAGCATTTAAGGCAAGAAATAAAATTTTCATGAGAATATTCAGCCTAAAAATGACATTTAAAGTCACCATATTGAGTCGCTTTGACAAAGGAAAGAGAAAAGGGATAAGGCCACAAAGTTAGGTGAATGTCCATTTGGGGGAATAGGTGGAGGAGGAGGAAATGTGAGATGGAATAATGAACATGGAAGTGGAAACTGTTACTATATAAATGATTAAGAGGATGAGGACAGATTTGTCAAAAGCCTTCATATTTGGTGCCATTTGAGAGAGAGCGGTTAATAACAAGCCACATTGCTAGGACTTACAAGGTAGGCACTGTAGGAGAAACAGTTTACCTACAAAATGCATAAGAAGACTGTAGGACAGAGAAAAGATGCTAGTGGAAACCAGATCAGACGCCCTCAATCTCTGAAAAGTATGAGGCAAGTTCTTTTGGGCAGAGTTGGGTTTACACAATGTAAGGATGAGGCAAATGAAAATTGTTGAACTAAACAAATTATGATGAGGAATTAATTAGACCTCACTTAGTAATTTTCCAAGGTCTGATAAGATGATTTCTCCAGCTGGATTTCTAGGAATTGGAAATTTCTATTTTTTAATTAGATATTTAGTAAATACATTAGTTTCTTCATAAATTGATGTGTGTGAATTTTATGCCTAAAGAAGAAAGAGATTAGTTAAATAAATAGTCTGTGTTGTTGTTATCTAAGTTTTGTTCAAAGGAATTTCTTCTTTTTGGTATTAAGATTTCACATTAAATTTAGGCAACATTTCATCTTCTGGACAATAAGTTGTACAAAGTGAAGGTCAGATTATGTTGTATAAGGTCATTGATGCAGGGTTGAGATTTTACATACTACTATATTTTCTTTATACAACTCCGACTTGCTTGCACTATATGATAAGGTACAGCATTAGCATATACAATGACGAGTAGTTTATAGTTTAGCATTTAAGCAGTTTTCTTCAAACACAGCATGAACTGCTCTGAGTTCCATGTGTTGATGACTTGCTTTTCTGATGTGTGCAAGTTCATCATCTCTATCACTGTTTATTTTTTTTATGATAACACAAAAGCAAGTAAGATTCCTTTCTTTACTTTCTTTCCCTCATTATGATTATTTCTGTTATCTTTTTACTTCTCTAGAAATTGTTGAATACTATGTTGTAGTTTTTACAGTGAATACAGAAGGAAAGAGAGAGTAATAGAAATTTTAGAAACATTCCATAAACTTCCCTAGTTCTTTTGTTTAGTGAAACAGTACTTGTCACTCACTTAGGAGTAAGATAAAATCATGCCTAGTGCTGTAAGTCACAGTAACTAAAGTTCATCTTGGTATATTGTTCATAAATATTTTGCAATGTTTTTCAGAATCCTCAGTCAGTAGCAGTTCTCCAGGGTCTGGCCCCAGTTCACCCAACAATGGGCCAACTGGAAGTGTTACTGAAAATGAGACTTCGGTTTTGCCCCCTACTCCTCATGCAGAGGTAAGACCCTTTTTCTTTGGTTCTTTTACAAACTGGTTCCCTGATTAGCTTCCTCATACAAAGTGATTTTTCGTAATTTTATATGTTTTAAACCTATAAGAGAAATAACAGTTGTTTATTAACTGATATAAATAAATATGTTTTATATGGGATGGAGTGAACTTGATATTATTTATGGATGAGACACTTTGGGATGTTTGGATAACAAGCAGGGTTTGGGAAGTGCTGAAATACAATCCTCAAATTAAATATTCTTAGTGATCCTGAGTATGTACACAAAGTGTACATTTTGCTATTTCTGTTTGATTATTGGTTGTTCTGATGGGATTAAACCCATAAGTAAGTAAAAACAAGTTCACACAATCCTCTCAGAAGTTCAACTAGCAACTAGATGAATTTTATCCAATTGACTTAAAGAGTAGTGAACAATAATTGAAGTGCTTTTATTGTAGTCAAGGGGCACTGAGCGCCACCAAGCCAACACTTACTAAGTACTTATTACATGCCAGTCATTTTTACCTGGTGATGGACATATAGAGATAAATAAGTACTCTATCCTTTAATGATGACATGTTAAAAGAAATTACTTTAAAGTCACATTATTTATTTGTTGTAATTAATGATACAAGATAAGAGGAAAGTAAATGTGAGCTGACAAGAATTTTTGTAGTTTAAGTATTAGACCAAGCGAAGCCAGGAGTCTGAAAGTAGCCTTTCTCACGGAACTCACTGTTTGGAGGTCACCGTCCATTGACTGAAAGTCTTAATTTTTCTGTCATTAAAATGCCTCCTTCACTGTGCATTCCTCTGGGCAAGGAAAGGTGGTGTGATCACTCCCTATACATAACTGTGACATATTTCTTGTGTCATATAGAGTCATCGTACTTTGTGTCTGATAGCAACTGTTGAAATCTCACATTCTTGGATTGCACCTATTGCTTTTTTGCCATGTGATTATCCAACCTCAACCAGAACATGTCTGCCTTTAAAGGAACTTACTCCACTGTCTCCTGACACAAGCCAGTTGATTTTAAACAGTTATCTTGACCAATAGGAATATCTTTCAGACATTACGCCATGAATCAGTTGTTCTGTAAATTCGCATGTATCATACACGCACAAATACACACATATGGCTGTGTAATAAACTATTGTACATTATGAAATTATTAGGCTAAAATGTAGTTCAGGCAGAAACCCAGATGTTGTCCTTGATACGTAAAGGATGGAAGCCAGTGAAGTTGCTTTTACTTTAAGGACATTTGTGTGCTTGAGTTTGAGCTTTGGTTTCCTTGGCCTCACAAAGTCAAGAGATAGAAAGCAAAGCCTAGTGTTGCCAAGGAGGATAATTTAAGAGGTAACCCCTGTCCCCGCCCTCCCCCAACACCAAGCTGGGACCCAGAAGGCCCATATCTCTACTACATTGGTGAGTGGCTCACCCCACAGCAGGCTTGGCTCAGGGCAGAGGAGGAGGCAAATACTGAGAAGTTGTAACCACAAGTTTGTCCTTGTATGGTATTATGTCCCCCAAATCACACAACCTCTAGTTGTTAGTTTGGTTTACAGTGGCCAAATATTTCTAGTTTCCCAGGTGCTTATGAAAGGCAAATGTGAATCCCCCTAGAAGTACAGTCCTTCATTCCAGATCTCAAAAATTGCCCTCAATTTTTCAAGGGACTTAAGTAGGAAAGGGAGATGTTCTTTCTTGTGGTGATCTTTCAGTTACTTGAAGAATAATATTCAGACATTTGCATTATCTCTAGTTCCTTCATCTATTTCTTGTTTCTTGTCATCTTGTCACCCCTCTTTGTATCTTTTCAAAAACATACTAGGTGGAATAAATATTCCACAAATTTTATGACCCAGAGACATAAGTAAGATTATTGGAATATTGGGTTGCTTCATGTGTTTATATTATCAATATTAGGTGGTTTTCTTCAACACTTTAATTAATTTCTAAGAAAAGAAAAAATCATTTACAAATAGTTTTTAAAAAGTATGGTTGCAATTTTAATAATATGATTCTCAGTAACTGCATAAACACCAAAGGATATAAGTTCTCATGGGTCCATGTATGGATTTTATGCCCTTGGAAACTGAAAGAAACTCACTCCCACTACCTTCAGTAGCATATATGATTCTTATATATAATTCTTGTCAATCTAGTAAGTTTCAGAAGACCACTTAGACTATGATTATATTTTATTAGGATTTAATTAATTAGTGATATAATATTGTTTGGGAATATGTAGTAAAAAGTTTATTTTAAAATGGCAAGAGGGTGATGAGCACAAAATTTAGTGTGATGATTACCTTTCAGAAGGAGGAAGAGGAAAGATACGGTTTAATAGTTACTAAAGAAGCTGATATATATATTTCATCATCATAAATGCATATATATGAGGATATAGTACTTAACAGGACATAAAGAACAGCCAAGAGATACACAGTGATAAGATTGGAAATAGATTTTTATCTTTACTTCAAACTTTTTATGATCTATTAAATTAAATCTCCAAGATTGTGTGAACTTCATACACACACATACATATACACACAGCACACACACATATACAAATAAAAGAGAATATAAATTCATGGAGTTTGCTTATATGGTTTGGTTCTGCTTTATATTCCTAAACCCTTTGCTCTCCCAAATTATCTGTTTAGATGCCTTAGCTTTTCAGTTAATTGTTCAATATATTCTGTCACTACAAACTTTTCCTTCTCCCCCACCATTAAAAAAAAAGAAAAACAAAACAAAACAGAAGGAAATGTGATTTAATGGAGTTTAAAAGGGTAGAGGTATTTCTTCAGGTCATTGACAGGACATTCACCTCCAAAGTTGGAAAGACTAGTTCAAAAGCAAGCAGTGACTTACCTCATAATGAATTAATTGTGTGCCTGAACTATGATCCAAAAGGCCAGGTGGGCAGACCTTTATGCACTGATGGGTAGCCTCTCTGTGGCCCAGAACAAAAAATGCAACCCTGATGGCTAACATGTGGTTTTCTGCTGCATTACATTTTCAGAGATCTGTAGTGTAATTCATTCTGGATAGACGAGGAGGCAGCAGAATTCAGACCCAGACTGTCAGCAAATTAATATCCTAGCTTTGTAACACTAAATGTTTCTACCTAAACCAGAGAAAGAAAAAATATTTTTAGCTATACTTGATTAAACATCATTTAGAATTGCTTATGATTTTTACAGATGTCTTTTGAGATTAATAGAAGAATGATTTCATAGCAACAGAAAATTTGGGGGTACAAATTATTTACATCATTTTATGCTCATGAATTTAGTTGCATACTTCATCATTTACAGATAGCAGATTTCTTCTGCTATCTTTGCTAAAGCAGCAGAGGCAAATTTTATTTTATGGCAGTATAATAGTGTGCATTTGAATGAATTGCCTAGTCCATGACCTGTAAATAGGAAAGCATGCCGACCCATTCATTCAGAGCCCTTGTAAATGAATGGGATTCTACCCCCTTTTGCTGAGTAGGAAATAGATATGTAAGGTTATATCTAAAGTTCTTGAGCCCCAGTTGAAAACAAATTTTTCCATCTCAGAATTCACAGGTCCTGCCTAATTTAGATAAAGGGAAAATAGAAATCAAAGGAGAAAGTATCCATAAGTCCATTCTTGGGAAACAGCACAGAGTAATAGAGCACATAGAGGGGAAATTCAGAGGCTGGGTATGAACCTGACTGCAAAACCAACCACTCATGATGAGTGATCAAGTCACCAAATTTCCACTGACTCTCAGATTCCTGATCTAGTAAAAGGTAATAATGCCTACACCAACAACTTGGTTGAAAGGCATCTGTGTTCAGAAGGCAGGTGGTAAATTGTAAAGTTAGGAATAAGTTCATTTTTGTTGTTATTATCAGTGCTGACTCCCGGTAGGGAAAACTCATTAGCTTGTTTGTCTTCAAGCCAGCAGCCCTCATGTGAAAGTGAGTCTCCATCTGCTCTGACCGCTTCTGTTCCATTTCTACTATTTCTTACATATGTCAGTCGCAGAACTAAGACTGCTGGAGCTACTTGTTTCACTCATTTGTAAACTTGGTTGGGGAGCTTAAACTTCAGGGGTTTCTATTTCTAACTGCAGTCAGAGATGTCTTTACCTATCTAGTTTCTTTATTATTATTATTGTGGGCCTGGGGGTTCAAATGTGTTTCCATGGATATCAGCATCATTACTTTAGATTTGGTAGATTTATTTGATAGCTATTTTAACAGTAGCCAAGCTGCTGGTTTATTTCTAGTTGAACATCAGTGGCTATCTTTGCTCTGCTATTTTTTAAATATTTTTTCCAGTAGATGCAAATGATTCTGTAAAAGGATTCTAATAATAAGGTTAAATGTTCTAAAATCATATGAAATGTCACTTGTTTTGCCCCAATCTCACATGACTCATCTGCCTGTTGTTTCATAATAGATGTTGTGACATTTGCTGTAAATGTTATGCTCCCATCTGAGTGGGTGTAGAGCTATGGTTTTAGATGGCAGCAAATAAAACACTCCCCCCTTGGAAAAGAGGTTGCTATGACAAAATAATCATTTACTAGGAATAACATGAGCCAATATTGTAAAGCAAGATTTTTAACAAAACATAAATGCAAAGCTTAAAACAACTTTGAACTGCAAAGCAAATCCTATAAATGATTTTTCCTTTTTTAAAAAAAATCTCACACACATTCTATAATAGTAATACATTTTTCAGAATCCAGTTAACATGAGGACTTGGAGATTTTTACTACCTGAATAATTTTGTTTTTATTACAGGAAACTCTTAATTTTCTATCAGTTATCTAAAAGAAGAGTTGAAATAAATACATTCTTGAAAAATAATAGTAACTGCATGGACAAACATTAGATGATTAAGGGAATTTTCATCTAAAAATGGCTTTCTTCTTTTTAGTTGGGCATGATTCAGGAATTTGACACTTTACAAAGTCAAAGTTGATTGACACTTATGAGCATGTCTTACCTTGTACCATTCTGATAGACACAGCTGGTATCTGATAGAGCTGTTCAGAGGTGCTTCAGTCTTAGGCTGAACTGACATCCAGGGAAGGTAGGTGACTGACTAGACAGACTCACAGCCAGTGAGTGGTAGAGTTCAAGTATAAGGCAATAAACTAACTTTTTACTAGTCCAAACTTCTCCCAAAACTCTAGATAAGTTTGGACAAACAAGAAACAGAAAATTCGACATCCACTTTTCCTATCTCTTTAAAAATATATAATTATACAATTATGTAGTATTACATCAAGGGTCATTGGTTGACTTCTTTTCCCCTTAAGAGCAAGAAAGGTGCTCATTTACCTTCCTCACCAAATCTCTTTCCCTCCCTCACCCGTTCCTTCTTTTTTCCCCTATTTCCATTTTCCTTGTACTACATGCATGTATTCTCCTGCATTTTCATTTACATGAATTCTTACATACTATGTATTTTTTGCTTTATACCCATGTACTTTACTAGATCTAAATGGCACAATGTCACCTATCTAATTTCCTTTCTTTATCACTAACCATGTGTTTATAAACCCGGTTGTATGTGTATGGATGCTTTCAATCACTGAAGAAATCTGGTGGGTGCTGCTCCATTTCATCCATTTCATTACTCAGGTAACTATGCCAGCAGCCTCCAATGCCCACCCATCACCAAAAAACAAAGCTTCAATATATACCCATGGACATCCGATAGCTTAAAGAGAGAATTTCCTGTAGTTATGATTCCCAGAAGACGAATCACTGGGTCATAGTGCATAGTATAATTGTTTTGGTTTATAATGTAGAATTGTTCACCAGATATACTGGACTCTTCTACAGTCCCACTAGCACTGTATAAGGGATTTTGCTTTTCTATGTCCCCATGTTTGATATTGCCCATTTTTCTAATTTTTGTCAGTGTTTTGTCAGATGCTGAGTCTTTCAATTGAAACTAATAGCTCCTTAATTCCAATTACTAAATAAATAGCTTTATTGGGCTATTTTCAGTCTTTTGTCTACATGTATTTTATTCATTCAAACTGCAAATATTATCTTTAAGATATTCTCTCAGCTGGGCACAGTGGGCATGCCTATAATCCCAGTGGCTAGGGAAGCTGAAGCAGGAGGATCACAAGTTCAAAGCCACCCTCAGCTAAGCAACTCAGTGAGAGCCTGTATCTAAATAAAATACAAAATAGGGCTGGGGCTGGGGCTCAGTGCCTGAGTACCCTGAGTTCAATCCCCGGTATAACCCCAGACAAAAAGAGAGAGAGAAAGAGAGAGATTCTTCCAATTGATGTGATAGTGAGAAAAGAGACTGAGTAAAATTTTGAAGGATCTTACTAAAATGTGAGTAGACCCTTTCCCCCAACCCGAACACCAGGCACAGTTCATATCCATCTCAACATCCTGCTCCATCTGGTAAAGGCTAATTATCTATCAAAACCTGGGTTTAGATTGACACCTTTCTCTGTGCCATCAAAATTTTTAACATACTCTGTGTAGCTATAGTGGTTATCATGAGTCTTGTGAGTTAGTCCTCTGCTTTGCTGTCAACCTGACTAGCGTGTGAGTCTGTGAGGCCTAGGTCCTCTCTATATGCCTAGCACCATCAATGTAACACAAGGGAGTTACTCATTAACTGCTTCATGAGGTTTATGTGATAGCCAATCACTCATTTAATATTTCTATTTTATTTAACTACAATAAAAGTTTCTAATTCTGAAAAATGTTCACATTGAAACCATCTTTCCCACATTCTAAGCTGTGAAATGTTGGCATCTCAGCAGTATAGCACTAATTAAGGGTTGAATCAGTTTCAGAATTGGTTCCTGGAAAAATCTTGACTTTGCCTGAAAATCCTTGTTAGCTTACTTCCACGCTAAGGTCGGGTGGCCTTTTCATCTTGAAGGAATCCTGGTCAGGATCCTTCATTGTCTCAGTGGAATGGTTTCCCCATAATTTGTGTGCATTCAGGTAGCAGTGTAGAATACCATTCTAGGTTTTATTAAGACTCATTAAACTGGAACAGATAGATGACTCCCACAAGAAAACTTAGCTGAGGATAGCTGTATTTAAAGAAGCCAATTTGAGGAAAATGGTTGTTCAGTTCTATTAAGTATAATTCTGGACACTGAAAGTCTATATAAACTCTTTGCCTATTTCCTTATCTATTATCAAAGGAGAGAAGCTAAGCAATGTCCAAGTCCCTGAAATCTGTAGGATACAATGTCATGCCTATTAGTCTCTGTGGGAAAAGACTGTACCCACAGACCTGAGAACACAGAGCTTTCCTTGCATCCTCATGAATTTTCTACATGACTTGAAGATCCTCACATCTGAAAAGCCATAGGGCTTTTTTCTCAGTTCAGGTGGCTACCAGTTGTACTCCATATACCCCTTCATAAGTCATAGGACCTACATTTGCTTTCTCTCGTTTTCTTAAGCAACCATTATTATTAATATTTTCAGAGTAGTTTGCACTTTCTACAGCAGCATCTAAGTTTCATTGCTCATCCCAGTGGGAAGCACCATTACCTTGCTCATTTTCTTCAGTGTCCTCATCTACAATAGGAGCATCATGGTAACTCAAGAGTACATATGAAGAATAGGTTAACCTCCAAATATCCCATGGCATAGGGTTTAGCACATGGTGGGTGCTGAAAATCAGTGCACCATCACAGGAGATGGAACCACTCAATTTGTATGTGAAACTGCAGAAGACTGCAATCCTAGTAGGAATGTCCCAAATCCTTTTTACTTTAGTCAAAGCAGTGTGGACATGAAGCATACTCTGCCATCAATCTATCTAAGAAGAAATCTCTTTCTCATTTCAGTATGTCTGCTTTTTGTGATGAAAGACATCTCAGAATATCACAAGAATTCTCTCTAGGAAACAAAGATAAGCTCTTTGAGAAAGCTGTGGGAAGGACACTGGGAGGCAAGAGGAAAAAAAAAAAACACAGTGTCCTTCCCACAGTCTATTTTAAATCTCAGTGCTGTGAACTTTTTAACAATCTTGAATGAAAATTATATATTAAAGTGCTTATTTTTTCATATTTGTTTTCTGTGGCTACAGATCAGTGAATGGATTATCCTTTTATTTTAAATTACAATTTACTGCCAGTAAGCTAGTTAAAATATTTTTACTTCCTTGAACATTCTTTTGGTTCTTATTTAGGTGTATGTTTATAGTAAAATTGATTTTAAAATCTCTATTTGTATAAGCAAAATCATACCTGGCCTTTTTGTTTAGAGCAAATTCGGAAGAATTGCTGATAGTCACTAAAATAAAATTGTTATCTCACACAATATAATGTAAAAATACTTTCCAATAATCTTCATCCTTTGGCATTTTAGACATTTAAAATTTTGTGATATAATAATATCAGTATAATGTTAATAAATTCAAGATACCTCTTGCTTTTCTAGCACAAATATCTGACATGTTCTTTTGAGAAGAAACAAAATCTGAGTTAGCTGGGAGTTCCAAGTTGCAATGAGAAAACTCCATTTAGCCTTCTGCTCTTATTATGTTAAGGCTAGGACTCATCTCCAAACAGACATATGATTGAGACAATGTTTTGGAATAACATCCTGTGTTTTGGTGGCGCATCACTCTTCAGTGACATTCTGAGCTTGCATTGTATTAGCACGTGATATTTTTCCCCAGTTAATTGATATCCCAGGTTTGTCCAGAGGAAAATCTACAGCTCCCCCAAACATGCTTGACAAGTTATTATATTTACTTTAGTCAAAGCCCGTGTGTGCAGTATCCCTCTTGGAGGTGGTCTATTATTGGAGTCCCATATGCTTTTTGTTTGGGAAGAAAGCAGTCACTGTGTCATACCGTTACATGGAGTATTCTTTTTCAGGGATGTTGTTCCCTTGGGGACCATATCAGGCCAGAGTTCCTTAGTCTAATAAGACCTTTGTAACTCTTATTGTATAAAAGTTCTGGAGGGAAGCAAGAGTTAAACAGAAAATGTAATTCAAGCAGCCATATTAGGCCACATGTGGGAAAACATGACTAGTATTGGATTAAAAAAGGTATTTGTTGTAAAAAAGCTCTGTGATGCCAAAACTGTGTAATGAAAGCTATTGTGGCATGGGGAACACCTAACATTTTAACATTTACTTCTGTTTATGACTGTGAATGATCTAAAGAAAATCACCACACAGAATTGTCTATTTGTAGATTTTTGTATCAAAAAGATGTGATATTATAGAAGCCCTATGTGATGGTGTGGACTTTCTTATGTGTTTCTGATAGTGAAATGACATTTAATTCTGATGAAGATAATGTCTGTGATGGTGTTGTATATGTATATTTTCACTCACTAATACAAAACAATTGCATATATAAACTCATCGAAATTACCTAATTTGATTGTTGTACTTTACCAAGAGACGGCAAACATGTTTATTATATTCTATAAAACCAGAATTTAAAAAATGAATTTTGCAAAATTAATATATTAATATTATAATATTAATTAATGTATTAATTAATATTATGATATTAATTACAAATTAATATTATAAAATATAATAATATCAATATAATGTTAATAATCTCAAGATACCTCTTACTTTGCAAGCACAAATATCTGACATGTTCTTTTAAGAAGAAATAAAACCTAAGTTTGTTTGTTAATCCCTTTCTTATGATTTTCTATCTGAAGAAATTCTTACTTAATTTTTCAGTTGTAACCCTTGGATACAGAAATCAAAAAATAAGAACGTAAATATTTTTCTGAATTATGATAATGTAAAAACCTCTTATGAAGTGTGTCTATTTTACTATAAAATTCATGATATCGTGATATTGTGAGACTTTCCTTTACTTATTTTTTCAACAGCAGCTGGTTTCACAGCAACGCATTCTAATTCATGACGATTCCATGAACCTGCTAAGTCTTTATACCTCTCCTTCTTTGCCCAATATCACCTTGGGACTTCCAGCAGGACCATCCCAGCTCAATGTAAGTCATTACACAGTCTTGCCTAAAACAGCCCAAGTCCTATGTTCATATGGGAACTCCCTTTCATTTCTTATATATTTAGACATGAGAAAACTTTTTAGGGTGAACCTGTCCTGTGCTATTTTTTGTTTGCTACACTGTTCAAAAGTGCTCAGTTAGTTTGAAATCACAGAATTATATTGGTTTGCATAATCATATAATAAAACAGCTAACATTTGTATAATGGCTTATAGCTTTTTTAAAAAAGCACTCTCCAGATATATGATTTTATAGCTCCAGATGACCATCCCATGAAACAGGATAGTCCACATTTTTTACAGAAGAGGTAGCTAAGACAAGGAGAGTCTAAAAGTTTGAGATCACAGAGCCACTGAGTGCCAGGCCTGGAACAACACTGGCCAGAGCTGACAGCTACAGCTTCCAAACACAGCAGCATATGTTTATGGAATTTATTTTGTGAATGACTTTATTTTGGGAATTTAAGTTACTGACGCTGTGGTCCTGAAAAATACATATCTGGAAAAACTCTCTAAGAATAACATTAAACTATTCCCAGGAGATCCAAAGGGAATTAGTTAGTTTTAGAGGTAATTGTCCTACTAGCAGAAGATAGCAATAATTATTTTATGTGCATTCCCTAAAATAATATAAATTTAGTTTTTCTCAAAGATTTGTAGGCTTTACCCAGAATAATTCATCTCTGAAAGGTTAGTAAATTAAACTGTACATACACAGATGTCCTGTAATATATTAGCTTTAAAAAAAATTTTGTTTCAACCCTTGTCACCAATTTTGCCAGTCTTTAGCAGCAAGTCCAGCATGTCAGATTCACATGTATCTTCAATGCATATTATAAAATCAGTCTGAGACTTTTAATTATGTCTGGAATTTTGTTATATCTGGATTTTTAACAGAATATGTTATCTCCCATGATACTAGGATCTTATACCAATTTGGAAAAAGCAAATTTTGGCTGTTGTTTTATTTCTATGGATGAAAGAACAAAGCTTGAAAATCCTGAATTCAGCTATACCCTTGAAATTCCATGTGAAGCATTTGTAAATAATTGGGTCTAGTGAAAAGAAAAAATGGAATTAGAAGGAAGCAAATGTTCATGGATAATATTTTCAAATACTTGCTTATTAAAACTTATTTTTCTTCTATTCCTATTTTTCCCACTTCTTCTAATGATAAGTAAACAAACACTAACCCCCAAATTTCTTGTGTCTGACACATGCAGAGGTGTTTTGCCGATATTGCTGTTTGAATAGTCTAAGCTGCTCCTCCTTGATAATTCACACATGTATCACTTTTAATGTGGTCAGGGGAGATTTTTTTCCCAAAGGACCAAGTACTAAAGCCAGACCATTTAATGTTTCGATGGTAATGCAATTTGGTACCATTGAATGAATAAACCAATGTGGTTTGGATTAAAGTCTCATGTTTTTTTTTTCTTGCATTTTGGTGTGGATGAGGCAATCACAATTAATTTCTCAAGCTTAACATTGCTCTAGCAAAGGGATCTCTCTAATATTCCATTTCCCCACTGAATTGTGGGAAATTTTAAGGAAAGGAGGCCAGGACCAGGCATCACTCCTAGATTAAACATTGCATTGACTAGCTCTGTGACTCAGACAAACCATTTACCTCTTTGTCCTTTAATTTCTCCATCACTGAAAATTGCTTTGCTTCCCTGGTGCACAGCAATTTTGAAAGATGAAACATGAGTTTTGAAAAGAAACATGCCACATAATTTTGAGGTATTAGACTTCTGCTTTTGTAATACCAAAATGACCACCATTCATTAAATTCTTTGAATAGGATAATTCATTATTGCTATTGATGATATGATTATTATTGCCTTATTACTGTGTTATCATACATTTCAAATTCTTAATAGCATTTTTATTTGATATCTGATTTCACTTTTAGTTTACTGTATTATACAAAAGTATATGGAGTGTCATTTTTAATATTTAGAGATTTTGGATCTGTTATGAATTAATAGAGAATACATATTTAAATCAAATTCCTGCATATTTTGTACCTCCTTTCATTGAGTTATTTTAAGAATTTCATTTTAAAAATTGAATATTGGAAACTTACAGTTCTGTGAAATTATTAGAGGACATGCAGAGAAAGAGTCAATCGATATTTTTGCTTGAAACTGCTTTCTCTTTGGACTGCTTTATTTTTATCCCTATGATATAGTCTTTAACTAGTCAAATAAATTTTATGTTTTCAGCATAGCTCTTATTTAAGCAGCAGATTTTAAAATCTTTTAGAAGTAAACTGTGTACGTATTAAGTCTGAAATTAGTACTATTTTGTTTTTTGACAGAAATATTATATCTGCATATGGGTTACATAAAATTATATATATTCATGATGTACATGATGGTTGTTTTGCGGGGTACTAGGGATTGAACTCAAGGGCACTCAACCACTAAGCCTCATCCCCATACCTATTTTGTATTTTATTTAGAGAGAGGGTCTCACTGAGTTGCTTAGTGCCTCGCTGTTGCTGGGGCTGGCTTTGAACTCCCAATTCTCTTGACTCAGCCTCCCTGGGATCACAAGCATATGCCACTGTGCCTGGCTTACATGGTGTTTTCATGTGTATGTGTAATCAAATTTGCTTAATCAAGCTACTTAAGATATATATTACCTTACTTTTTCTGTGTTAAAAACACTTATCATCCATGCTGCACAATTTTCAAGTATATTTTTATTTATATAACCATAATCACCATGGTGTACAGTAGACCTCTTGAACCTGTCCTTCCCATCTAAAATTCTGTATCTTGCTTTGTTGTTAATATTTTTTAAAAAAATTTTGAAGATTCTGTACAGATGCCCAGTTACTAAATACTTTACAGTGCTTCAAACCTATTTTTATTTGTTATTTGTTAATTTGGTTAGTTTAAAGACAACTCTTACCCATTGGATATGTTCTTCATTTTTATAGCATAAGAAACTCATCTACTGATGAAGAGACCTAGTGACCCACATGGATGAAAGAGGATTAATATCTTTGTTATTTCTTCTCACAGGCTTCGAATTCGCTCAAAGAAAAGCAGAAGTGTGAGACACAGACGCTCAGGCAAGGTGTTCCTCTGCCTGGGCAGTATGGGGGCAGCGTCCCGGCATCTTCAAGCCATCCTCACGTGGCTTTAGAGGGGAAGCCCAACAGCAGCCACCAGGCTCTCCTGCAGCATTTATTATTGAAAGAACAAATGCGGCAACAAAAGCTTCTTGTGACTGGTAATTTAATAATGGCACCATTCACAGGTCATGTCAGGACTTTTATTTTATCAGTGATCCAGTATAATGTCTCAAGGCCCTGATAAAGATTTACTGTGCCATACAAGGATCTCCCTGGCACCTGGTACCACGGGGAAAGGCTATGATCCTTTATTTATTCCTCTAGATCTGTCAGGTGGGGGTGGATAGAGAACTCCCTTCATTTAATCTTGATGCATACCAGGCTAGCCTACTTGAGTCACCTGCTCAGACACATTCCTGTTCCACCACCTGGACTAGCCTTCTTCAGAGGCTTGCCTGGCACATGGCTTCTTACCTTTTCCTAAAATTATGCGTGAATACATCTATATATAGGCATATGTAAGCACACATACACTCATTCACGCATACAAATAATTGTTTTTCAGGTGGAGTTCCCTTACATCCTCAGTCTCCCTTGGCAACGAAAGAGAGAATTTCACCTGGTATTAGAGGTACCCACAAACTTCCCCGTCACAGACCCCTGAATCGAACCCAGTCGGCACCTTTGCCTCAGAGCACGTTGGCTCAGCTGGTCATTCAGCAGCAACACCAGCAATTCCTGGAGAAGCAGAAACAATACCAGCAGCAGATCCACATGAACAAAGTAAGCCTGCAAATCAAGCCAGAATATTGTGACCAATATTGTAATGTTGGTTTGGAAATTGGGGTTCTATAACTGATATGGGTATCTAAGAGGAGAATTTTGGAATCCGTTACAGGAGAAAGGAAACTACTGTCTTAGCCCAGTTATATGGGCTCACAAATGTCATCACAATACCAGTGTTGTCACCATTGTTACATTCTTGGGAGATAGGTAGCAAAATCAAGATCATAGATTAGCAAGATATTTTATGATTGAATGCCTGTTGTAATATACAAGCACATCCAGGCACATGTGCATGAAGCCCCTATTTTTGCGAAAAGGACTTGAAGCATAGTTGCATACATGTGTTGACAAGTTAAAAAGTTTGCATAGGTGATGGCAGATAGCAAGACTAAGGTATTGCTTAGCAAGTTGTATGCATGTAGTTTATGGTTATATTTTAGTATGTCCCACTTCATTCCAAACAGCATTTGAATCAGATTCTCAGAAACTTATAATAATTTCTTTCTGGTGGCCCTACTGAGGCTGAAATGGACAGTGGATATCTATGTCCTTCCAAATGCTTAGGAGCTCTCCTGCTGAAGCAACTACAAAAAAAAAAAAAGAAAGAAAGAAAAGAAAAAAGAAAGAAAAAACAAACAAACAAACAAAAAACAGTGATTACAGTATGATACCTGTCAGAACAGTAAAGCATGTTCTACAAATTTGTACGCAAAATGATCTTTCCCTCTCTTCTGTGCCATGTCATCTACAAGTATGTTTTAGAGGGATTATGTTGAAAAGTGAGACCCTATTTACTGAAGGACGATAACTACAACCTGACTTAGCAAATGCTTTATTGTATTGTGATATAAAAAACAAGCAAAGCAAAACAAAGTAAACCTTCATTAAACCTTCATGAGAAAAGGTCTCATTAGCTTTCTAATGACAATAGGAAAAGATATTGTCATCATGTGCTGACTCTATTGATAATATTGCTGACGTTTTCTCTTCTTTTGGGCCTCCATCTTACCAAGGGAGCCATGGTGTGGGAACATGGGCTGCAGAGTGCAGAACTGAAAATAAAATTCTTCCAGCCCAGCACTTTGCTGCTTTCAAAGATGGTGTGTGCAACATGTGGGATTAGAGTGTTGGGAGTGGGGATGGCTGGCAAGGCCAACTGTCTTTCTGCCTTCTTTCTCTGTGCTTTGCACTCTGTGTCATCAGTTGAATGCTTTTTAAAATTGTGACTGTCTAAATTTGTCAAATAATTTTGTATAAAATCAATCTCCTTCAGAGAAGAGCCAGCTTCTTTTCCTGCTTAATGGCGTAATGCCCATCAACTTGAATACACATTTGCTCTATTATGGTAGTTAGGTTTGTTATTTGTTTTGTGGTTTCTCAGCACAATGCAAAATTACTAGGTATTGCTGAAAATTGTTGAGTGTCTACTGCAAGAAACTTATGTGGGAGGGAATGTTAGCAATTCTACTTTTTGCCTTAAAATCCTTTGACCTGGGATTAGGTTTATTTATAAAAATTAGTATTGAAGTATGTGTGTGTGTGTGTGTGTATGTTTGAGTGATTCTCTTTCCTTCAAATATGTGGATATATATATTCTGCTATAGATAAATTAGGTAAATTGATCCCTTTGAAATCATAGTCTACATTGAATACTTTTAAGAATATACGTATATACACACACGCATATGTGTGTGTGTGTGTGTGTGTGTATTTTTTTTTTAACCTAGAGTTACCACAGTTTCAGACTCAGATGGAATGCTCAGATGGTATCTTTCTTTCTTGGTGTCATACTTGAGATTTTGACAGGCGGATGCTAACCCCAGTCACAGGATAAAACTAAGATGAAAAGCAGGCATTTGCATTGTAGCAATGACAAAAGAAAGCCTTATCAGAAAACTTTTCCCATGTGGAGCTGATTCCTTGGAATCTGTTAAGAATTCTTCCTAAAATTAGAAACAAACCTATACTTTAAGGTACTTATTTGTACAGTGGTTTGATTATTAAATCTTGTCTTAATTAGGCAAAATGAAGACCAGAAAACTTCAAAGTACAAAGCTGATCTTTATATGTTAACCCCTCTCAGCTTGGGTGTTTAGATTACTCACACAGGTCTCCAGTTGGCTTTCCTCCAAGTATGTATTCCATATGTTTAATCAAGTGGCATGTGCACATCAGGTATTCTCCAGATTTTGAAAATATTTTACCTGCCCTCAGTTGTCTAAGAAAACAGAGAAGAATCTATTAAAGAAAATATTGGACCTGCATCCTATTTTTAAATATTATCTATAAAACTTTCAAGAAGGGAGTTTCGACTCTTCATCTTCCTCCCTGGGATGATGAAGACATTTACTCCACACTGGGTCAGGACTATAACGTAAATGCCAAAAGCTAAGTTTCCATACAGAAATATATTCATGGGTACTCTAACCATTTAGAATACTGATTAGTAAGAAATTACCACAGAATCTTATATATGTCATTTCCTTCATTATCATGCTTGAATCTTTATTAAATCCATTAGAACTGGAGTTTAGATAGTTGTCATCATGAAAGTATGGCCATCACTCATGAGATCCTTACCATAGCAAGAAATATAGGCACACATGAACCTGTAGGTATGCACATGACATATTCAAAATGTCTTTTCCTTTTATTCTCTTAACTTCTCTTTGGTTCTTATTTTGAGTATTTAGGAAAGCAAGAAATGAAGTTTGAACAAAGAAAAAAAAATAAGTAGATTTATATGTAAGCCAACATCAGATGAATACAGTTGCCCTTTCTGTCTGAAATTTGTAGTGATGTGATTGAGTTGCTCATCAACTTCAGAAGAATTATAAGCAGACCTAGAGTTCTAGAAGCATCATTGATAAAATGATGAATATTAAATTTTGAAGAATCTATCATATATATCTATATAACATAAATGTTAGTAATCCTAACAGATGAGTTAGCTGCCTGTGGTCTTATACTTTCATGATAATTACATGGGATATTTGTGTATTTAAAGATTATTTGACTCATAATTATGGTCTAAGAGTTCAAGAATTTAGCAGAAATATCCCTACAGTTGGTTTATACAGTATTTTTAAAGTTATATTTGCCAGTAAATAATGCAGGATGTTAGAAAGGAGAGTGCTGACTGCAGAGGAAATCCTGTCAGAATGATTTATCTCTGCTTATGAGTGTGAATACCTCATTTTCACTCAAAGTGTTTTGAAAAGTTTAATCATAAGAAAATTGTGGCTTAAAACATTTCTTCTTTTGGTTTTTTTTGAGACATTTTTTAAAATTTACAAATGCATTAAACAATTTCTATTGCCAATATGTGGTATGTTTATACTGTGATGACTTACATTTTGGTAAGCTTTTTCAAAAAATGAAGTTTCTTTATACCAGTACCAAAAGAAGACTGTTGCTTTTTTTTGCCAGTATATTTTGTCTTTCCTGTTGGAAGAAAAAGCATTTATAAAATAGAATTTTCACCCCAAAATACAAAAGAGCAAACAAACAACAAAAAAACAGGATATTAGTACTTTTCTCCTGAGCCCACTTGAAGTTTCAGTATTACCAATTTAACTTTCTGGTAAAACAATAAATACTATGATTGATTAAAACAAAACACACCAAAGTTACTTGGACATATTCATGATTTTAAAAGAGTTTTCTAATCACTGCTTGCAAAACAAAAGGACCATCTCTAGCTACATCAATATCTGGGTATTATGTGCAGCTTTTCCAAACTCTTCAGACATTTTTGTAGAGTGTATTTTAAATTCATTTCTGGCAAACACTACCCACCCCCACTCCCATTTATGACAACATTATTCTTTTAATTTTATTTCTTCATCATGGTATTAATAGAGTAGCATTAATTTGTATCTCTTTTATCTAGAATTTTCTAATATTTGTTTTTCATATTCCATCAGATCACATCTATGTGAGCAGAAATTTTAAGAGAAGTCTTTGTTTCGTACTTATTTGACTGAAATACTCATTTGTGTATTCAGCAAAATCTTATTGAATTCTCACTTTGTGCAGACACTGTTTCAGGCACTAAGTAAACAACATTCTGGGCCCTCGATGAGAGAGCAGAGTGCAGGGTGGCCCACTCAAGTAAACAGCACGGCTTGCTTCGTATTGAGATAGACAATGTGAGGAAGAAATGACTTCTTTTACAAAATAACATTAGAAATTTATTTAATTACCTTTCTGGATTATATTGTCCTTATTATATATTTTTTTCTTCTTTCCATTTTTACTTTCTTTTTCCTCCCTTATTTCTAGCTCTGTGATAAATTTCTTACACATTCCTATGACTGGATATCAGCCAATACTTTTTTAAAAACACACATAAATCATGAGATGATATCTTATATATGTCAAGGTTCAGTCTAGATATAAGTATTTATTATATATTTATTACTATGATACTTAGGCATTTTGACATGAGTACTATTTTATCATAATAAAAATATATCTAAGACAAGACCGGTAAATGGGAGGCCAAGCAGATGTCCTGGGTTGCCTCTATTAAAACAGGTAGATGTTGTTTTCTGACAAGCAAGGCAGAATATGATTATGTTCAATGCTGGATCTGAGTAAATGGGGATCTTTCATTAGTTTTGTTTTGTTGTTTTGGGAGAGATTTCTAATACGTTATATTCTAAAACAAGAAGTATATGTTTTATATTAGCTTTATTCTAATAAATATGATTTTATCCAGGGCTTACCTGTGCGTGGATTAAAATTTTAAACATAATTATATAAAGAACATGTACCAATCTTTGTTTTATTGCTACCCTCTTTCTCCTAGTGTCCTTGCGAATTTAATTAGCACCTTCTCCATAGATACCTTAAGACAACTAGTTGAACTTAAATAACACCATATCCCTTTCTATGCAGGATCTAGCATGGGCTGACTTCTCTATAACAGCATCTGTATCTGTAGTATCCTCAACCTTAGCAACTCACTTCTTTTTTTTTTTTTTTAATTTCCA